TTGCCAATATATTGGGAATCACTCGCGTCGGCGCACATCTGTGCGTTTATAAAGGACATTTTTGGATTTTTAATAGACCAGTAGTACCGTATGAACCTCTGAAGTGTTCGCATTGAAAAATCAAAATTTTTGTTATTTTGTTCGTCGGTGGTCCGTTTTCCCAAGAAGAAAACGTGTGGGGCCCCCTTCAAGAATTCCAGAACGCAGACATACCACTAGGTGAGTCTCCTTAAAATATTGGCTTCTTTAGATTTTTTTGTTATTTAAATTTAATTATTTAAACCGCCTAAAAGGAATTAAGGTTCTCTTGCAATCCAGAAACTGAGCTATATCTAAGGGAAAAAATCACATCATGAGTTAACCATGGACATAATTTGTTTTAAATTAGAATTGTCAAAATTGTGATTTTTGTGTTTCATTAGAGAGATATTGCAAGTTCACTTAAGATCAGCAACTATTAGGCGCTCTTATTTTGACATCTGAGCATGCGCAGGTCGTTAAAGTTCTAGAACTGACTTTATTAAATACAGTCTGTCCTTAATTGTGCATGTTTAAGGGCAGCAAAAAATTACTTTTTTATCTTTTGGGTGTGCACGCAGATATTCGTATCACTTCGAAGTTTTTTAATATTAAATATTTAATATGATCATTTAAATCTTCTAAAATGGCCATTTCTAATGCTCAACAACAAAGATGAAATATAATTTAAAGTTTTTTTCTACGCCCATGTCAGTAAACGTTAAAAGTCGCACTGTTAACATTTAACAATAACATGCACGTAATGAGATAACATACAGGTGCGTTTTGATAAGAAAACTTAAATTTCTTTTTCTACACACGCATTATAATAATGCCCATAATCCGTTTCATAATGATACCCATTATGATACAGATTTTTCTTAACGATACAGATTTTTAATCAATAGAAACCCATAATGAACAGTGTGAATAAAAATTCAGTAAAAGCTAAAACTTACATTTTCCTAGCAAATGCTTAGTTTGCAGCGAATAAAAATAAGTAGTAGCTTTTACTAAAAATACAATTAGCAGAAGCTAAAGTTTTTAGCATTGTCTAAAAATGGTGTGAATAAAAGGAAGCATTTACTAAGAATATTAAGGAAAAGCTTACATTTTTGCAAGCTTGTTAGACCCTGGCTTAAAAATTTAGTATTGTTAAACAGTTTGGCAGAAATGGCTGCATTTATGAATATAAGATCTGTAAAATTTTATCCCGAAAGAAAAGAAAGTCGTGCCGAAGAATACCACGGTCTGTATAGATTTAGTGAAGAAAATGTTGAGTGGATAGCTAACCATTTTTTGGAGCCAAAAGTGGAGACTAGAGGTGGTGCATTGAGTCCAAAAAAACAAATGCAAATATTTTTGCGATTTCTAAGTGATCCTGGATTTCAAATAGGGATCGGAAAAGAAGAAGGAGTTCATAGAACAACAATATGTAAAACGATATCTCACGTTTTACCAAAAATAGTTGAAAAGGCAGGAATTTGGATTAAATTTCCTACAGAAAACTCGACTGACCAGGCAATCAACGAATGGGCACAGTTGTATAGATTTCTCTGTGCTTTTGGTGCACTCATGTACCAATAATAAAGCCACCGCTACATGGTGACGAGTATATCAATAGGAAAGGCTGGTGTACTACAAATGTGCAAGCAACTTGTGACAGAAAAGAAATTTTTACATCCGTAGACGCTCAATGGCCTGGCTCGGTGCACGACAGTCGTATTTTAAGAAGATCAAATATTTTTGGTATGATGAGAAGAAGACGTCTTATTTTAGGCGATGAAGGGTACGGCATAACACCATGGCTATTAACACCGTATAGAAACCCCACCACACCTTAAGAATTAGCGTATAATAATTTACATAAAAGAGAGCGCGTTATTATAGAACGCTGGTTCGGACAACTAAAACGTCGATTCCCTATTTTGCAACATCAGATACGATTGAACATTGACAAAATTCCGTCAGTAATCTACAGCGCTGTGGTTCTGCATAATGTTGCTAAGTATTTAAATGACCAATTACCAAATGACGAAGAAGAAGTAGCTGCCGAGGATCACGATGGTGAAGAAGTTGTGGAAGATAATGATGAGCTGAATAACGACCGTCAGCGTGGTCAACAGAGATGAGAGGAAATAAAAAATATAATTTTTCAATTGCAGTTGTAAATATACTACTAAGTACTGTAGGGTTTTTGTCGTTGTCTAGGGGTTTTGGGGTTAGCCCAATCGGATTAGTATTTTAGATTCTGAAAAATTCGAAGCAGCAATTTTCCTTCGGAATTCGTTGGAGGGGGTCTCTGGTAGTCTAAATTCAAAAAGTTGGGATTCCAAAGTTGTCGTTACCTCCGCCATCTTGATTTAAAGGGTTATTTTTTGTATCTTGAATAACTCATTTATTTTCAATTTTACACGGAAAATAGTTTTTACAAAAGTTATTTAAAATTAAATTTCCTACAATTCTGCTTTTTTTTTGGTACGATCGATTTTTTTCGATTTATACCCGAAAAGAGGGGGTGAATTTTTGGTTATAGAATAACTCGTTTATTTTCAATTTTACGAGAAAAATTGTTATAAAAAAAGTTGTTTAAAATTAAATTTCCTACAATTCTGCTTTTTTTTGGTACGATCGATTTTTTTCGATTTATACCCGAAAAGAGGGGGTGAATTTTTGGTTATAGAATAACTCGTTTATTTTCAATTTTACAGGAAAAATTGTTATAAAAAAAGTTGTTTAAAATTAAATTTCCTACAATTCTGCTTTTTTTTTTGTACGATCGATTTTTTTCGATTTATACCCGAAAAGAGGGGGTGAATTTTTGGTTATAGAATAACTCGTTTATTTTCAATTTTACGAGAAAAATTGTTATAAACAAAGTTGTTTAAAATTAAATTTCCTACAATTCTGCTTTTTTTATGGTACGATCGATTTTTTTCGATTTATACCCGAAAAGAGGGGGTGAATTTTTGGTTATAGAATAACTCGTTTATTTTCAATTTTACAGGAAAAATTGTTATAAAAAAAGTTGTTTAAAATTAAATTTCCTACAATTCTGCTTTTTTTTGTACGATCGATTTTTTTCGATTTATACCCGAAAAGAGGTGGTGAATTTTTGGTTATAGAATAACTCGTTTATTTTCAATTTTACGAAAAAAATTGTTATAAACAAGGTTGTTTAAAATTAAATTTCCTACAATTCTGCTTTTTTTTGTACGATCGATTTTTTTCGATTTATACCCCAAAAGGGGGGTGAATTTTTGGTTATAGAATAACTCGTTTATTTTCAATTTTACGAGAAAAATTGTTATAAAAAAAGTTGTTTAAAATTAAATTTCCTACAATTCTGCTTTTTTTTGGTACGATCGATTTTTTTCGATTTATACCCGAAAAGAGGGGGTGAATTTTTGGTTATAGAATAACTCGTTTATTTTCAATTTTACGAGAAAAATTGTTATAAACAAAGTTGTTTAAAATTAAATTTCCTACAATTCTGCTTTTTTTTGGTACGATCGATTTTTTTCGATTTATACCCGAAAAGAGGGGGTGAATTTTTGGTTATAGAATAACTCGTTTATTTTCAATTTTACAGGAAAAATTGTTATAAAAAAAGTTGTTTAAAATTAAATTTCCTACAATTCTGCTTTTTTTTTGTACGATCGATTTTTTTCGATTTATACCCGAAAAGAGGGGGTGAATTTTTGGTTATAGAATAACTCGTTTATTTTCAATTTTACGAAAAAAATTGTTATAAACAAGGTTGTTTAAAATTAAATTTCCTACAATTCTGCTTTTTTTTGTACGATCGATTTTTTTCGATTTATACCCCAAAAGGGGGGGTGAATTTTTGGTTATAGAATAACTCGTTTATTTTCAATTTTACGAGAAAAATTGTTATAAACAAACTTGTTTAAAATTAAATTTCCTACAATTCTGTTTTTTTTTGTACGATCGATTTTTTTGTATTTATCCCTGAGAAGAGTGGGGGTGAACCTAAGTATTGTATTGTCACGTTTATTATTGATGTTGTACCATTATTTTTTCTGTTTGTTTTTTTTTGCTGATTTTCAAAAATGTTATTTGGTACAATTATGATTCCGATTTTTTCTAAGAGTTTACCCCCACTCTTCTCAGGGATAAATACAAAAAAATCGAACGTACAAAAAAAAACAGAATTGTAGGAAATTTAATTTTAAACAACTTTGTTTATAACAATTTTTCTCGTAAAATTGAAAATAAACGAGTTATTCTATAACCAAAAATTCGCCCCCTCTTTTCGGGTATAAATCGAAAAAAATCGATCGTACAAAAAAAAGCAGAATTGTAGGAAATTTAATTATAAATAACTTTTGTAAAAACTATTTTCCGTGTAAAATTCAAAATAAATGAGTTATTCAAGATACAAAAAATAACCCTTTAAATCAAGCTGGCGGAGGTAACGACCACTTTGGAATCCCAACTTTTTGAATTTAGACTACCACAGACCCCCTCCAACGAATTCCGAAGGAAAATTGCTGCTTCGAATTTATCAGAATCTCAAGCCTGTTCTTCACCTAATCCGATTGGGCTAGGTGCAAAAGGTCAAGTATACAATAGGAAAAGAACTATTTTATTTAGAAATTAAATGTGGATATTTGAAATATAATACAAACTAAAATTTTTTTACACTCTACAGTACGATACCATATAATATCAAAAGACAACATGAATATTAATACGTAAATAAATATATATAAATAAGTAAAATAAACAAGATACTTGAAGGAGGATTTTTCGACAACAACTTTTTCAGGCAGTTATGCATTCTAGAAAGTTTTCAATGGGCCACACTGTATAATGTTATATTTTATGGTTTTTATTATTTTGAATTACTTTTTAAGTTAAATTTAAATGTAAGTAGGTACCTTAATCTGAGTTAAGTTCATTAATTTATTAAAAAAAAAAAAACGTCAACAACGAAAACAATTTATTCATTTACTTACAACTTTCTGAACAACAAATTATTTATTTCTTCAAATTGGTTTCCATTTTCTTTTTGTATTTTTTCCAACAATAATTTTTCCTTTTCCTTTTGAACCCTTATTAGTTCCAGCTGTTCCAACAATACCAGTCGTTGGAGCTCTGTATTGGACACATTTGAGGTTTCCTTAAATTTGGTTCTTCTGGTAACTGGAGACTTATCAGGTAAAGGTCGAACATGAGGTGGAGGTGGAATAAATTCTTCCGTTTTGGACGTGATGGTTGAGGTTGTTCCATCACAGATCCTATCGACATTGCTCCTGAAATAATTTTTTGGATCAAATAGCAGCAAAACAGTAATTTATACTATTCGGCGAAAAAATACTTCATACCATTTATTTATTTTTCTATCCATACTTTATTACCTACCTGTTACTTTTTGAAAAACAGGGTTTTCTTGTCCTTCCATTAGCGCTAAAAGTTGTTTTTCCCACGCGTTTAAAACGATTTTTTTATTTCCCGTTGCAGTTTTGTCCGTCTTTTTCTTCAACTCGGTCTTCATATTTTGGATTTTCTTTTTTAGTTGTTTTTCAGTTAAATCCCTTCCAATTTGCAAAATATATTTTTGGTGGATTTCTTTGTATGCTTGTTCTTTTTTCTCTTTTATTTTAGGAACTTGCGATTTATTAAATATAATATTATAGCTTTCCAAAATTTCCATTAATTTCAGGTTGGATGAAATTTTTGCAGGAACTTCCTCCGTCGAAAAATCACTTGTGGAATTTTCTGAATCACTACTCATTTTGAACGTAAACCGTTAGCACTCGTTGATACTGGTTTAAAAAGTTTTCATGTGCTCGATATTTGCCTTTGTCGATTTGCACATCGGCAGTTAAAATTTGTCCATACACATACAGTCTATCGACAGGTCTGAGCCTGCAGTTCCACAGAATTTCACGGCCGACTGATTAGTCATAAAAATATAAATATAGGCCTTATGTATAAAAACATTTTTTTTTGATGATTTATTAAATAAGAACTTTAAGTAAATACTTAAAATATCTAACTTTTGCTAGTAAGTAAAAGCAAAAGATTATTCATTTCAATTTCAGCAAATGCTATTAGCAATAGCTAAATCTACCTAGTAAAAGCTAAAGCTTATACTTCATACTAAAAGCAAAAGCTAAGTTTTTATTCACTCGGCCCAATTTTACAATCAAGCATGCTGTACATTTGACGTTTGTCCTAGGTTCCTATGTAATTGTTTTAGTTGTCAAAATCAGTACGTATTAAATTTTTGTAGGTAGCTAAACTTCGATGATTATATTATCAAAATGCCTGATATCAGCGATATAGAAGACTTACCATCGACTCCTCCACACGTATCGGAGAAAGCAAAAAATGCAGTACAAAATATTTTGCCCCAAAAATCTATGGTAATACCAATACCCGAGATAATACCATTATTTACAATTTTGTAGAATTTTTTATAGAAATACGAGTAATTACTGTTATTGTGTTCAATACAAATATATAAATATAATATTTGTAGTTCTTGATTATTTATCGGGTGTAGAAAAAATAGCGTATGCAACTCTCATGTAATGGTTATTACATGATCGTTGCATAATATACTATAGTTTAATCAAATTACAATCAAATGATTATGTATTTACGACTTTATTTGGTCTATTTACATAAATTCAGAGCTTTCGTTGAGAAAATTACCCCAAGTTTCGAGAGTGCCAAATTCAACCTGCCACAGGATATTAAAATTAAACAAAATGCAACCTCATAAAATTCAAAACTTCACCAAGAGTTGGATGACGGTGATTTCGACAGAAGTGTTGAATTTTGTGAAATAATGACAGATATGATTCGGCAAAACAGAAATGTTTTACGAAGTACTCGTATTTGCTTCAGTGATGAAAGGTGCTTTTACTTAAAGATACGTTCTCCTACAAATTCCCTGGTCGTTGGTAGCCGCTACCGGGTAGTTGCTACCAAGTCGCAAAGGCAAGTAGGGTCTCTTACACACGTCAGTATTTGTAGTCGCTGGCGAATATGCTACAGTCTAAAAAATGAATATTAATAGAAAGACACTTGTGTTAATATTATTAAATTTCCAGGTTCAAAAGGAAAAAGTACATTATAATATCAAAAATATTTTAATAATATCCCTATTGTAATTCATAAACTGTAATCATAATTGATAAAAAAGTTAAAAATATATATACATACCCATAAAAATGTATTTTTTAGAACGCTGAAACTAGAACTACAAACAAAAACCAATTAATTCGCTACGAATTGGGACGTTGCTCTGCTCTCGAAGCAGACAAACGACTGACGATCAGCGAACAGTCGTCGGTAGCAGCTACTTAGTAGCTTATAGGAGAACAGTCTGGTTAAAAATTCCATTGGCAATACCTTGGCGACTTGGTAGCAGCTACCTGGTAGCGGCTACTAGCGACCACCGAATTTGTAGGAGAAAATCCTTTATAGATACACTGTCGATATTGGAGCTACGTAAATCTTCACATTTTCTGAGAAGGTCACACACATTATCCCTAAAAAATTAATGAATGGGCTGGAATTCATCATAACCAAGTAATTGGCCCAATATTCTTCCAGTTAACTGGACCTAAATACCTACAGTTTTTGGAAGAGCTAATACTTCCTCTTATCATAGAGTGTCTGGAAGAAAACTAGAATGAAATAGAGAAGGAGGTATATTTCCAACAAGATGGAGCTGTGCCACATTACTGTTTATAAATTAAGAATTATTTACATACTATTTTTCCAGGACGTTGGGTATAACTTAGGGGCTCTATTGAATGGCTAGCTCGCTCCGCCAATTTTACTCCACTAGATTTCTTTTTTTGGGGACATAATATGAGGTATGTTGTTTATAAGACACCGCACCTATCAATGATAGCTGATTTACGTAATAGAATAACAAAACAACGCCGCAAGTGTTTGAAAATTTTAGAAATGCTTTTCTGTTTAAATGCAAATGGAGAATATGTTAAGCATTTAGTGAATGAAATGTTGTGAATAAATCTTGTTTTAAGTATTTCCATGGCTAACTCAAGATTTTTCAGAGTAGATAATTTCTGACATCTGAAACGTTTAACTTTAAATATCTCATAAATTTCATGATGTAAGAAACTAGTTTTTTCACTTAGATATCAATAAAAATTGCGTTCTTTCAAAATCAACTAAAAAAAATACTCGGTGTCATTTAAAACCTTCTAGTGTGGGTGGCTGGGGACGGCGGGTGACCCGATGGGGCGGTATGAGATTTCATTGTATCCCTATATTTACCCAAAAGTTTTTATTTTCAAAAACACCAGAAATAATTAAATATTAAGTTTTCATGTTGACAGCTGGAACACCTATGACAACAAGTCATAAGTTTACGTATTTAGAAATGTTTAAACAGACTATTTTTTTGACATCATTTCTGTAATATGTTAATTTGAGGCTCTAACTTTCCTTCGACCTTCGACATCTTTATATTGTAAGTTGTCTAGTCCTATTTTAATATGTTCTTGCTTCTTGCTCTTATTACATTTATGCACTGCACTCGTGCAAACAATTTATTCCACACGAACAGTCTGTATTCACCAGACGCACATGGTCTGAGCGACAGGAGATGGGACTTATGTCTTATGTGGACCAGACTATAAGACCAGACATAATAAAGCGTAGCAGCCTGTCTATGTTTGACCGTTTTCATATACCATTTCAATTTATTCAAACTTCGTACTGCACAATAAGAAACAAGAAATATTCTTATTGGATAAAACATTAAATTGTTGCATTTAAAGTAAGAGCATCGCAAGAATTTTTGCTACTCGTGATAGACAGACAGATCTATCCCGTTTGCAAAAATGTGTGTTGAATACTAAAACTGGTAGTTTTTGTAATTGAGTTTCAAAATGGATTTTCAGCGGAGAGATTTTCTGAACCGGGAAATCGGCCGGGAAATTTCGGATTTAATTCACGTTCGATTTTAACTTTGTTAGTAAATAGACCTGGTATACGGTAGGACCAATCGAATAGCAGTAAAATGTTCTCGATTTTGACGTCACGGGAATGTGCTGCAGCAATAGCATCTCTACGTAACGATCCTGGGCGTTACGAACCACGTTGCCAGAACGCACTGAAAGTGAAAGTTTCGTTGATTTCCTCTAATCATTTATATGTGATGATAACTTTAATATATTCTAAATTGAAATACTGTAAATATGGTGTGGGCAACGTAAATAGTTTTGCCTGACAAGAATGATAAATGATCTATTCAGAAGCTTTTTTATGCGTAAAACTTTAATATTTAAATAAACGGTCAATATACTTTCTTCTACCAATCAATAAAACATAAAAAAATGCAAAATATGGTACAAATCGTTTTATTGTTTTTCAAAATGTTCGCCTTTACATTTCTGCATGTGTTCGAACCAGTTACTTACTCGAAAAAGTTTTTCGTTCTGAAGGTGGTATCTCTCAAACATGGTTTTTGAAGAATGCAATCCAAAATCGATATCACATAAAATTTTATTGTTGCGACTCACTTCGGTCCATTAACACGTTCAGCGCCAAGGGTATCTTTTTCGATACACTTTATGTACATTTTATATGGGGAATTACAAATTCTTGTCTCCCAGAATTTTCTTTCTCTCAAATTAGGGTGTAAGTTGGATGAAGGTTCTGTGTTACATTTTCATAATAATTACCTAAAGCCTAAATCAAACCAATACGTAATTATTACATAAAAATGTATTTAGAAGAAACGAGTAATTGCGATAAATCTTGTTTTAAGTATTTCCATAGCTAACTCATAATTTTTTGGAGTTAATAATTTTTAATGTCTGAAACCTTTACCTGGTTTTATCACATAGGGATATCAAAAAATTTCGTTCTTTCAAAATCATCAAAAAAGAAAATTCAAACCAACACGTAATTATTATATCAAAATGTTTTTAGAACAAACAATTAATATCAAATGGAAATAAACGATTGAACATTTGAGGGAACTAGTGGGTAGCATTGAAATACTTATTACGAATAAAAATACCGAAAATGAAACATTTGGTTAAAACCTGCCAAGTTTTCAGTACTTTACCGCCGACTTCCTTTCCTTCTCTTCCATATTTCTTACAGCATTCTGCACTTTCTTTCCTTCCTTTTTATTGATTATCAAGTAATTTTTGGGTTTTGGATGCGCATTTACTCTTCTTGATGTTGCAACTTTACCTTGGTCTTCAGCACGATTTCTTTCAAGGATTGCAGTGATTACTTCTGCCCTAAACTCCGTGATGTTCATCTTTCTTTGTGTTGTGTATTCATTATATAAGAAACTTGTCGCCCAAATACCTTCAAATGAAAGTTTACGGTGCCTTTTGTACAACGCTGCACAGCTGATCCATATATTGCTATCTCATCGCTTGGATCAGTTATTGATGATTTGCCATAGTTGTACTCAAAAATGCATTCCGGTTTTACTATGGGTGCATTTCTTCTGCTTTTGATGGGGGTCGTTTTCAGTCCAGATGTTTTATCATCTAGCTTATCACGCTATTTGGTGTCAATAATTCCATCGTTTATTTGCATACCATACATTTCACCCCTCTTCAATTTGGCATTTATGAAATTCTTCGGCAGATACTTTCGATTTGCTGTAAGCATACCGGCTAAATAAGTAGGTATTTCTACGCCTCAAACGATAGGCGAGTGGTACACTAGTATAATAATTATCTGTATATAGTTATTTCTTCGTTTAATAGGCCCTCTGTCTAT